TGCTGGATTTCGAAGAGAGTTATCCCTAATTATTATATACTAATGATAGTAGTGCACTTAATAATTTTTATTTAATTAAATAATGCACCAAACAATATAGACTAATAGCATGCAAAATGTAGACAAATTCCCTTACCTCACAAAATGTTCTTGGATTTCTAACTATGCGACAAGAGTTATTACAAATCCATCCAAGCTAGTCGTTAACTATGTTGGTACTCTGAGTGAAATTGACATTTAACTGTTCAGAACATAACGTTATACAGTGTGTCATTTGATAGATGAAAACCTTGACTTTCTACTGGTTATAGGTAATATATATAATTAAATATAAGAGAGAACTATTAACAAATCCTGAAAGAGAGGATGTGACAAGTGGGTATGGCAGGAGGGGTTTGATTTTCTATTCGATAGCTCTGTAACCAAACAAAATTGAAGACTATAAAAAGTGTGGTTTGTTGGGGCAATAACAATTTGATAGTGAGTAATTTACATTTAATTTTGTACTTATCCAAGGGGTGGTGGATAAAATAGAGGAGACAAGATGCCTTGAGAAAATGCATCACATGTGTTGAACTAGTGGAAATTCAAGATTTTTTTTAATATTGCCCTGTAGAATTAAGAACTTAAAACTTGTATACTCTTAAAATATGGATTATTAGCTAAGATTTTATGATATTCTAATTGGTATAACAAACAAAAAGTGGTTTAATAAAATTTTTAATGTAAGACACTAAAACCTTGTGTCATGCACAGTAAAGGATACCCATGGTGATAGGGTTAATGTTATACATAGTTTTTTTTTAACTTGCAAATTTTTATTTTGGGCTGATTTCAGTATGATCCAAGTGAGATCGTTAGTGTTTTTGAATTCCCTGAATTTCTTCTGAGCATAATATGGTACTTACAGCCTTCTAAGAGGGAAGTTAAGATAGTTTTAACTAAATAATTCTAATATCTGTTTGTAACTTAAATAAAGTGTGTTTTCATAAATTTTTACCCAGTTACCATTTCTCAACCTAGGTTGTTATAAGTTGATGTAATTGCCTATATCTGAACTCTTCATAAAGTAATAGGCTACTAATCTAAACACATCATGATAGCTTTTTTTCAAATACAGTACATTATCTCTACTCACAGGTATTGCTATTCTTATTCAGTGCTGCCCTCTATATGCAAACATTTTTTCACACGCCACAAGTCTTGAGCTCCCACATACCTCACGATCAGTATGGTTCAACTGCATCTCATATGTTAATCATCATGTGATAACTCTCCATCAATATGAGTGCAATACACCCTCTGTTGTGACACCCTCTATTTGATTCTACCAAACAATCGCTTCTCATTTGGCAGTGCTTGTGTCAAGACATTTTTCTAATTTTTTTTTTTTTTTTTCAACTTACAGAATTTTTTGAAATTTTTTTTCAATGTTGACTGAACTGTTTTGTAATTTATTCTGAAGTGGAATTCTTGTCTTATTTCAAACATTTGCAAGCATAAGGATAACTTACTTTTTTGTTTTCTACTTTTTCATTTATTTATTCTAACACCTTTACAATGAATTCCGAAGTCCAAGTTACCACCACGGAATTAATACCAGCACATTTACATAGGCTGCAGGTGGAGGAAACTTGACTATGGAATTATGGGCTCTCATTCAAAATGAGATGATCATTATATAAGTCAACCTTCTTCTCCTGGTATTGCTTGTTTTCCTCTTAAAAACCTGTTCGGGACTACGAGGAATTTAATAGCCATTTTCCTCCACCTGATTTTGTTGTGTCTTCCTATACCCCTACTGCGGAATCAGCTAGGCCTAATATGACTTCTTTTAACATTATTTCTCAGATGTATTATGTTTTATCAATTTCCCTAATTTCTTATAATCCTCTTCCTTCCTTGTTACCTGATACCCCCTCTCAGCATTTTATGTTTCCCAGATATTAGAGTTCATGCAGGTGTTATGTATCTCAGATGCATGAGGGTGCTAGCATGCCCTGCCCTCCACTGGCTTTGGATCGGTTTGCTTTGGCCAACCATCAGGCTGAATTTCCATTTTTTGATCCTCAACAGTTGGAATCACTTTTGCCTGCCTTGGAAAGATCCTGATCATCCTGTTCTTTTATCTCATGCCCAGTTTTCCTGCCTTCCTCTTACCCTATTGACTCTCTTATGGTATTTGTCTACCATCCACCTCCTTTTCGAGACACTCCACTGAGATCTTGAGGTTTTTTTTTTTAGAGATACCCTCTCTCTGATTACCTTTACATTGACATGTTTGTTTTCTTCAGCCCTTTCCATACACACATGGTTTCTCTGTTGTTAGGATATTCTGGGGAGAGACTCTGTATTGTCCCAATTTTTGATTATCACCTACTTATCTTCAGGACTTACATATGGCCTCTTTTCTCCAGCCCTTTCCATACACACATGGTTTCTCTGTTGTTAGGATATTCTGGGGAGAGACACTGTATTGTCCCAATTTTGATTATCACCTACTTATCTTCAGGACTTACATATGGCCTCTTTTCTCCAGCAATCTGTTTTCAGAGATATTCGTGAGACTTTAGAATTCCATGTGGAATCATTGAGACAACAACCGACCCTTTTATCTATACTTGATCATTTGTTTCATTCTGAGCCTAGACAATCCACTATTACTGTTTCTCATCCCGGTCCTTCCCAGCCTTTACCAGATCCTACCTGTAGGAGTTTCTCCACTTGTCTTACTATTCAGTGCAGATAGACACATTGCTAACCTGTACCAGTGACTACTCTGTAGCTTCTGGTCCGCTGGGGCTCACTTGACCGATTTTGTTCCCATATGGTGTGATTTCACCACAGATCTTTGGGTTATTCAGGTATTATTTGAGGAACTTGTCATCCACTTCCTTTCCCCTCCTCTCTTATCTCGGTGCCCATATCATTTCTGTTGCCTCAGGATCCTACCACCAGTCAACATCTGTCTGAGGCGGTACAGACTCTTCTCTCCCAGAAAGCCATCAAACCTTTACCTCATCCT